GACAAGAATGCTCAAATAAACTCCATGAAGCGATCTTTTAAAAAAAATTGTTTTCTTATATTTTGTTTTATTTATTAGTTTATTATGACACAAATGTGTATAGGAAAAACAATGGTTAAGATATATACTGACAATATTAATATTCTTTTTTGAGAAAGTATTATGCATAAGTATGATTTAAGATCTGTTTTTCCGTGATGCACAAAAAATATTAGGTATCGAATTTCATTTGCACATTTAGTCTTTTCTTTTTCTACTTTGAAAGCCAGCCAAAACCAATTATAGAAGACGTTGGTTTGACACAGAACTGCAACGAAACTACGACGTGACAGTCCAAGTACATGTACTCCTTTATATTTCATTTATTCTTATGTTACTTTCGTTCAAGCAAACGCTCGGCTGCCTCCGTAAACCCCTATTGCGAAATGTCGGCGTTGATTGAGACAGCCGCCATTTTGGACCCGCTTCAGATTTTTGAATGCTAATATCTAGAGTTTAGATTTATCAACATTCAAACAAATTATATAGTAAGCATTATGAGGAGGGTTTCTATTAACATACCAAAAATAAATGAAAAATATTGAAAAACAAAAAAGTTAGAAAATACGATTATTTTTAATTTGCATCTCGTAACGACCGGAAGTACTGACGACGCACAAAAAGGTGATTCTGCAAACCAGAAAGTCATGATCTATCATCTCCAATAAGTCTCCATATCATATACCTAGCCATTTTCGAAAAAAAGGGGCGACAAAATCGCATTTTAAAATCAGAAAATTGTCCATAACTTGGCACAAGAAGAGAATTTTCCAAATTTCTCTTCGGATGTAACAACTTCATATAATGACACATATTTGGTGAAAGTTTCATGAAAAACTGCTGAATAGTTTTCGAGAAATCGCCTGCACAAAATTTTGTCAAAAAAAAGAATAATAATAATAATAAGAACTAGATATGAAACTCGTTGCGAGCAACGAGAGGTCTTCCGTCCGATTCTGGAAAGAAAACGTAAAATCGAGCTAAAAATGAAAAAAAAAATTGCACACAAGGGGGATTGAACCCAAGTCGCCAGCAGGAAATTCCAAAGCACTTAATATTACGCTATCAGGACATCTACTCTAAATCTACTTGAATATATTATGGAAACAGTGCTTCTCTCTTAAAATTATGAAAGGTGGGTCACTATTCAAAATTTAGCGCCAAACGCCACGAGTTAATCTTGAGCCTTTTCTTTGGAATTTTCTATTATATAGGTGCGATAGCTTCAATGAAATTAAAAAAAGAACGCTCTTATAGCTTAAGATTCGAGGTTTAGAAAGTATATTTAACACATTTTACAAATTCCGTATTGTATATATGTATGTAACACTTAAGCGGTGAAACAGTTATGATTTTTTTTCAATTTCCAGTTTATCCCCAAAGTGAACCATCTCGATTAGTTAATCGAAAAAAGTTTAAACGTTTCGCCGAAGAATATGGCTCGCCCTACGACAGTCAAGGAATCAGATATCTTTTATGCTCAGTAACTTGAATCAGGTCTTTGAGACAAGAATGCTCAAATAAACTCCATGAAGCGATCTTTTAAAAAAAATTGTTTTCTTATATTTTGTTTTATTTATTAGTTTATTATGACACAAATGTGTATAGGAAAAACAATGGTTAAGATATATACTGACAATATTAATATTCTTTTTTGAGAAAGTATTATGCATAAGTATGATTTAAGATCTGTTTTTCCGTGATGCACAAAAAATATTAGGTATCGAATTTCATTTGCACATTTAGTCTTTTCTTTTTCTACTTTGAAAGCCAGCCAAAACCAATTATAGAAGACGTTGGTTTGACACAGAACTGCAACGAAACTACGACGTGACAGTCCAAGTACATGTACTCCTTTATATTTCATTTATTCTTATGTTACTTTCGTTCAAGCAAACGCTCGGCTGCCTCCGTAAACCCCTATTGCGAAATGTCGGCGTTGATTGAGACAGCCGCCATTTTGGACCCGCTTCAGATTTTTGAATGCTAATATCTAGAGTTTAGATTTATCAACATTCAAACAAATTATATAGTAAGCATTATGAGGAGGGTTTCTATTAACATACCAAAAATAAATGAAAAATATTGAAAAACAAAAAAGTTAGAAAATACGATTATTTTTAATTTGCATCTCGTAACGACCGGAAGTACTGACGACGCACAAAAAGGTGATTCTGCAAACCAGAAAGTCATGATCTATCATCTCCAATAAGTCTCCATATCATATACCTAGCCATTTTCGAAAAAAAGGGGCGACAAAATCGCATTTTAAAATCAGAAAATTGTCCATAACTTGGCACAAGAAGAGAATTTTCCAAATTTCTCTTCGGATGTAACAACTTCATATAATGACACATATTTGGTGAAAGTTTCATGAAAAACTGCTGAATAGTTTTCGAGAAATCGCCTGCACAAAATTTTGTCAAAAAAAAGAATAATAATAATAATAAGAATAATAATAAGAAACAATAGAATCACTATAAGGTCTTCCGTGAAGACGGAAGACCTTAATAATAATAAGAAACAATAGAATCACTATAAGGTCTTCCGTGAAGACGGAAGACCTTAATAATAACTAGTGTTAATTGTAACGGGGACCGTTACAGATGTTCCCCAAACGCTCCCCAAATCTCTTTTTGTGCCTATTTCCTGTAATACATTTTTTTATTTGCTCAGTGTCGAAGGATTTAATTTAAGAATATATATAAAAGATACAATGATATCAACTATATATCATTTAACCTTTTGCATGCGCGCGCATGCATATGCAAGATGATCATGGCATGTTGTCTGAAGAATTCCTGAGAATCAAAAGAAAATACTAGTAATACAGATATAAATGTTACTTTTTTCCAAGTATTTTAGTCATTTTATGCATTGCGCATGCGCCGTGCTAACATGTCCATGCATTCAATTTTCATAGTATCTTAATGTAGGAATCTATTACACCTATCCATATTCTAAATTTCATCCTGATTTATTGAGAATTAAGAAAGTTAAAGACATTTAAAGTTTAAGCCAATCAGATTGCAGCACACGTTCATGCACGTGCTTTCAATACAATTCTTATAAATCATGTTGTAGAACCTTCTAAAGTATGACTATATTTCGAATTTCAAAGTATTTCGTCAAAAAACAAAAAAGATATTGAGACTTTAGTTTCAGTCAATCAGAGCGAAGCGCACGTGCATGCACGAGAGTTCATGATAATATGACCACGTCATGTTGTCTATAATACTATTATATTTACATTTCCAATAAATTTCCCCTATGATTCCTTACAAAATAAAATGCAGTATATTTTCTCATGAAATACATTAGGTATATCACGGATAAGCATGAATATCTCCATTGTTACGTCATAATACCGCTCTTGACGTCAAAAAGTCAAAAAATATAGTGCACACTGTTTTGTTTTAAAAATGACAGTTGAACGGCGTAAATTTATGGCAAGTCATCAGAAAAATAATGTAAATATAAGAAATGAATTTAATTTTTTAAAGATTCATGAGGTATATGAACTACAACGCCTCGCGCCGGCATATTTATCATGAAGCGCGTTAGCGCTTCATGAAATATGCCGGCGTGAAGCGTCGTAGTTCATAACCTCATGAATCTTCAAAAATTAAATTCATTTCTTAAATATACTTATATCATTATTTTCAAAACATTCCATCAAAAAATAGAAAAGTTACGGCTACATCTGTAATATTGGTCATTTTACGTGTTGCGCGTGCGCGCTCTTGCAAGCACGTGCGCGCAAAATGACCTTGATTCCGCAAATCTACATAACATGTCTACTTACCCTAAAAAGGTTTTACCTACATCGGATGAACAGTTTACAAGATCATTCGCGGACAAATAAGTACCCAGGAAGAAGAAAAATAATAATAAGAAACAGAATAAAAACAATATGTTCCCCAACTTCGTTTGGGGAACATAATAAGAAACAGAGTAAAAACAATATGTTCCCCAACTTCGTTTGGGGAACATAATTAGACACCTAACAGAAGAGTTTGAAAGTTAATATCAATACACTACGAATTATTTTATCAATGCACTATTTATTATTCTTCGTTGATTCCATCATTTACTAATGAAACGATCATTGATGACATTTTTCCCTACAATTTTTTATTGTCCTGTTTTATACTTTCTTTCCGAATATGGAATACAAAAGCATATTGATGTATTTGATAATCAGGGAACAATCACCCAGTCCTGATTGATTGGTTTATTTAAAGACGAGAGAAGCTTTAAATGGGAAATATTTGTATCTGTGAAGGAAGACACGAGTTTACTTTTATAATTAGTAACCTGTCGCCCCCGCCTTCTGCAGTGTCATTACGAATGGTATCCTAATCAAATCTCGTTCTCAGCTTTATATCAGAGTTTACACAACAGATTATTTGTCGTCTGCGAATGACGTCATATTGATTGTCTTTTCTTACTTAGGATCCCAGTTGCCGTTTTTGGCTTCCCTTTTCGACCAATGCCTTTTGCTGACGTCGCTAATACCAAATTTCTTCCGATTATAGAAACAATGGAGTGATAGGGAGGGCATCTAATTAAAATACATTGTACCAAAATCGCCATGTTAATCTATATATCTATCAAGTGCAGAACACTACTTTTAAACAGGTGTTTGTGTATCTATCAACTCCCCATGAAAAGCCAAATCTTCGAAACTTTAGGACTTTGATCCCCCAAACAAAAATTTAACAAGTATAATATTAGATTAAATTCAAAATATTAAGCATTGACAAAACAGTTACACATGTACGTTTCCACTAACATAGGCATCATGTAAATGTCTAGAGGATAGCTGCAGAACCGTAGCTCAATAGCAATGGAACCTAAAACAGACACCTGCATTTCAAACACTTTATAAAAATTTCCAGGTTTCGTCTAGTACTCTATCTATTGTACTGAATGTAAAACAATTAGACCCGAGGACTTACCCAGCAGCGCCAGTCGTAGAGCTGACGCATTGTTGAGTTTGATGAATTCTCCGAATGAGCGATGAGTGAAATCGGCGTAACAGTGATGCTTAGAGTACCCAGACTGCATTTCTGACTAGTCCCCCAAAACACTTCTGTAAAACTCCAGCACCGAGCCCGACGTCATTCGTGGAGGTTAGCAGAGCGCGCACCTGTAAAGAGAGAGGGAACCAGCGCGTGAGTGTGTTTATGTTGTCATGTTAAAGTCAGACAACCTTATACACAGGTAATCAAATCAGTATCACTAACAGGCACTGATACACCATCAATTAATTGTCATTCATAATTAATGTCTTCTCAGCTTGAATGGAAAAAATGTGTGACTGTCAGAGAGTGAGGATAGAGAGGGGGAGCTCTTCAAAAGTGTTATTTACCTCTTTGTCAACATGACGTTTTACGAAAGGCATACCAGCATTATAATATTTTGAAGAAAATAGATACAGAGTTTTATTATTTTTCTTTATTTTTCCAACTATCTGATTGGCTCAAACTGGGTCACATGATCAAGTATAAAAAGTGTTATTATTTTTCTTTATTGTTCCAACTATCTGATTGGCACAAACTGGATCACATGATCAAGTATAAAAAGTGTTAGAGACTGGATGTTACTATTTCAAAAATTTATAAACCTGCTGTTTCTAAAATTGGAAACGTTCTTCTGTGAAGTAACAATAGCGCTGACGCCACAGTTGTCTTTATAGACTGGATGTTTCTAAAAACAGATACTGCAGCTGGTTTTCATTACTGTGACGTCATAATGCAATGACATAACAATGCTTTGTATGGGAAGGTACTGAGTATTATAAAAAAAGGATTTCAAGAACTTTCTTATTAACTAATAAAAAATAATAAAACAATTGTAGCCTTTTGATTCGGTACAATCCCTCGATATATAGACCTTAGAGAAAGCATATCGACCTCGCACTCGTGCTCGGTCGATATGCTTTCTCTAAGGTCTATATATCGAGGGATTGACCTCATCAAAAGGCTAAAATTGTATATTATTATTTTTCTTTATTGTTCCAACTATCTGATTGGATCAAACTGGATCACATAATCAAGTATAAAAAGTGTTACAGACTGGATGTTTCTATTTTAAAAATTTATAAACCTGCTGTTTCTAAAATTGGAAACGTTCTTCTGTGAAGCAACAATAGTGCTGACGTCACAATAGTCTTTATAGACTGGATGTTTTTAAAAACAGACACTGCAGCTGGTTTTCATTACTGTGACGTCATAATGCAATGACATAACAATGCTGTGTAGGAGAAGGTACTGCGTATTATAATGAAGAATTTTAAGACATTTCTAATTAACTGATAAAAATAAAAAAACAATTATAGCCTTTTGATTCGGAACAATCCCTCGATATATAGACCTTAGAGAAAGCATATCGACCTCGCACTTTGTGCTCGGTCGATATGCTTTCTCTAAGGTCTATATATCGAGGGATTGACCTCATCAAAAGGTTATAATTGTATATTACAGACTGGATGTTTCTATTTTAAAAATTTATAAACCTGCTGTTTCTAAAATTGGAAACGTTCTTCTGTGAAGCAACAATAGTGCTGACGTCACAATACTAGTAGTCTTTATAGACTGGATGTTTCTAAAAACAGATACTGCAGCTGGTTTTTCATTACTGTGACGTCATAATGCAATGACATAACAATGCCTTGTATGAGAGGGTACTGAGCATATTAGAAAGAAGGATTTTAAAACATTTCTTATTAACTGATAAAAATAATAAAACAATGGTAGCCTTTTGATTCGGTACAATCCCTCGATATATAGACCTTAGAGAAAGCATATCAACCTCGCACTTTGTGCTCGGTCGATATGCTTTCTCTAAGGTCTATATATCGAGGGATTGACCTCATCAAAAGGCTATAATTGTATAGTATCTTCCATGGCATTCTTTCCCATCTGAAATGTTCTTAGAGGTCTCTATTGCCTTGTTCTGATTTGTATCTTAGAGGTCTCTATTGCCTTGTTCTGGTTTGTATCTTAGAGGTCTCTATTGCCTTGTTCTGATTTGTATCTTAGAGGTCTCTATTGCCTTGTTCTGATTTGTATCTTAAAGGTCTCTATTGCCTTGTTCTGATTTGTATCTTAGAGGTCTCTATTGCCTTGTTCTGGTTTGTATCTTAGAGGTCTCTATTGCCTTGTTCTGGTTTGTATCTTAGAGGTCTCTATTGCCTTGTTCTGGTTTGTATCTTAGAGGTCTCTATTGCCTTGTTCTGGTTTGTATCTTAGACGTCTCTATTTGCCTTATTCTCAGTTTGTATCTTAGAGGTCTTGTTCCTGATTCGTATTGTTTAAATATAGACTTTTGAGCATGATTATAATTATATAGCCTAGTATTCAATATCTTCATATTTCATCTTCCGTAAACAAAAAAACCCTCTACGTCAGTGAATCTGTGTTCTAGCTTTCAGAGACCACTTTTGTGCTCATATGAGTGAGAACACACTACTTGAGATCTCATAATCAGAAAATACATATTAGTTCTGTCCTAAAATAATATTTTATTTAAATGGAATCAGAAGGTACACATATAAACAAACAGCGACCACAGATTTATTATTTTAATCCTTCCTATATTTCATTTATTTATTTATTAAGCAGTCTTTGCTTCAGAAATTTCAGATTGCTTGCTATTCCGTCTGCTAAATTACTATAATTATGCATACTAGTATCAGAAACTATCTTGTACAGTGTGTAGTTGAAAAAAAGTTGTTTGATACGTTTTATACCAAAGCATGAAGAATTGAAAATTTGTTTTTGAAAAAGTTAAAGTTTGAAAAATTATTTTACGCTATTTCCTTTAGGTACATGCCTGCATGTTATTTGCCAAAGTCAATGGAAACTAAGTTTTAATTATAGCAATTTATAACAAATTACCACAGGAAAATTAAAATTGTGATATTTTTTGGAGATTTTTTTATGCACCAATTTTGGCTCTTATCAAACCTTGTTCTTTAACTTACAACTGCAAGAGTGATTTGTATTTGCAATTGTTAATCACGAAATACCTGCTCCGAAAAGTTTGATAAATAGTTGATTAATATCTACCCGCGCGTAAGTGTTCGAAGGTTACATCAAAGTTTGTCAGAACAAGGCTGAATATCATAAATGTCCCCTCCGCCATAATTTGCTCTTTACACGTCCCTGTGATCCTTGGGATAAGTTGGTATGCTTTGTGAGTAGTATTTGTAGTAGTGATGTTTAGTGAGTACAATATAGTATTTGTAGTAGAGATCTGGAGGGATCAGACCCCGCGAGTGCTGACGGGTTACGCCAGACTCACTACAAAGATGTCTGTAGCCATTAGTTGTACTAGATACGTACATATCAGGGTTTGAACCAGTACACAAATCAAGACAGATTGTACTCACGTCAACCGCTACAACTGTTGATAGATCGGGGTTAAATTTGACATATCTCTCTCTCTCTCATCTATAGAAACTAAACATTGTAAAATGTGTTTTGCAATAATAAGTTAATAATGCATCCAAACCTTTTTTATAGGCGTCTACATATGAGTGAAAATTCTCGAGAGAGACGTTAAACAACACACAAACAAACTAACTTTTGATAATTTTCTCTTTCATTGATATCAGCGAAAAATCACATGATGTGAATGAATCAATGTTTTTGCCAATAAAGAATGAATGACTTTGAAACTAGAAACTACATGTATACTGATATGAATTGTGAGTTGGTTGGGATTTAAATTATTGCATATTATGTAAACAGTGTTTTAAAACATTTTTTCCTGTTTTACATGTTTCCATGAGACTTTTGGGGTCATTAGTGGTATTTGCTGAGAGGGAGACAGTACACCCTATATCTTTATGTCTAACGTTTGCGACATCACGCCAATAATTTAAACATCTCCTACACATTATATTAAAATTATGTTTAAGGATATTAATTACTGAGTAATTTTTAGCAATTTTAAAAGCACGGAAATTTGTGTTCGCTCTGAAAGTGTTATTAATCAATCTAAATTTGTAATTGAAAACTTCAAAATCGCGTGGGTAAAAAAAAAAGATTATTCTCAGACTTAAGTATGGTTTATAGCGGTGGGGCCTTGAGTGTAAAAGAGCGAAAATAACTGATTCCGCCCTAGTCCTTTTCTTTAGATGGTAATATACGGTTCGGAAGAACGTTGACAAGATTTAGATTTTGGAAGCTTTTCTTTAATAAGAAGGTATAAATCACAGTTATTGTAATTGTCTTGTAAAGCTCTACACAGGAAGAAGAAGTCAGGGAGGTGTCATTATATCCAGTTCGTGCCGCCTAATGAAGCAGAATCAGGGAATCTATTTCTATTTAAACTTTCTCTAAAAGCCATGTTAATAAAAGCTTCCTTAATTTTCTTTTTAAATTTTTTTTTCAATAAAGAAGCAAGGAATAGTTGACAAATTACCTTTATTAATTTATTTATTCAAATCATGAGTAAATTAGTGAATGTTTGCCTTGAACTTTGTCAAACGAATAAATGAATGAAAAATATTCGACTGGTACCAACTTTTATGCATGAACAAACCTTACATATTTTTATGGCGTCAAAATTTCTTTCAAATTCTAAGTAATATTTTACATGCAGAGATTGAGGGATTGAGTTCAATCTGCCCTTCGCATACTTTATATGCCTATATGATACATAAACTTTATTGGGTATATATAGAAACTGTCACTGCTATCCCAAGCTCCTAAATATTACTTCTCACAAAATCAATGACTGGACTAAAGGAGAGACTGGAAACACATTGTATTATATCGTATTAGGAAGTGAGGTGAAACTCCAAGAAGTTTTACAAAATTTAAAATCACATTTAAAAATAAATAAATAAACACGAGATTGAAACAGTACAGATCCAGACCACGGACCTCTAAAACATCAGAAGTGGGATCAGGTGCCATGGAGGAGAGAACATCCCCTGCCGACCTGTCACACCTGTCTCGTGCTCATTGTCATGATAGGACAGACAGAAAATGTGTAGGTGATTCAGTGTGTAAATAATGGACTAACAATTAGAATTCGACTGAACGATAAATTGTATTTACTGATAAATTCGTACTATCGACCATAGATTTTGTGAAAAATTTACTGTATACGAAAGAAAAATTTCTACGCAGAGCT